ATCGTCACGTCCCAGTGTAATTATCGTAGCCATCTTAGGACCCCGCAGGCTGGGGAGTTGATGATGGTTGTTTAGACTGAGAACTGCACTGCACTGCACACTGCACGCCGCCACACTGACACACAAATATATATATGCACATGTTTTTAGGAAGACGGCGGAGCGGCACATTCCAGCCTCCCTCCTCCCCCGCGCTCACGTGGAGCTGCTGGGAGTTTTTGCCGCCGCCGTGACTTTCGGTTAAGTAATAGATCTTGTATTTATTTAGCATTACATTTTTATTGAAACGCTGCAAAGTACAGTGCAGTGCGTGTGGTGGCTGGCTGCGAGCATTGATGCATGTATATAGATACCTTATTAACGTCCGGCGGCAGGCGAGCCGAGAGCGAGGAGAGAGGAGAGACAGACTGTGGGGAGTGCGAGAAAGAGAGAAGATAGTGGCGGAGAACGCTCAGATAAGGTCACGAAAATACGGCAGGTGACGGTACGACGGCCGAGATGTACAAACGCGTGTCAATCCATAATCGGAAAGCCCCCCCTCCAAAGCCGATGTAGCCGCAGCCGATGTACAGTGTCCCGAAAACTGCCCGATGTTAGGCTGCCCGCCTATACGCATTCGCGCGCCCGCCTTCCTTCGGCGCGCGGAATGCGTATAGCGGGGAGCTATATGAGCTATACATCCCCGCGGTTCGCCGTGCGCCAGTCCCGCGAAGTGCGCCGGTTAACCGCTTTCGGCGGCTCGCGGGAACAACGCTAGTTTTGCGCAAGGCCATCTTGTATCCGGTTCGCTGGATGAACTTTCACCTCTGCTACCTTCCATTCTGCACGGTACTCTTCCTAGTCATAAGAGTGTTGGAAAAGGGAGTGTATAGCTTTTAAAGGAGCTATCCGGCGTAGAAACGAGTAATATTAATGGGAAATAAATAAATTACTAAGTAATAAAGGTCTTGAGATACATACCCATGATTTTTAGCGGTTTTATAGTAATTTGCGATTGTTTACCACTGTCGCTGTGCTTCGGCCACGATTCCAGCGTGGCCGCCATTTTTGCCTGCCACTCGCGGCGCTGGAGTCTAACACGACGTATAGTCTCTTGTTTAGTGTATGTTTACATCGATACAGAGGTAAATACGATCAGCGATGAGATTTCTCTCGTGGAAAATATAGTTACTACGCGTTGTTGTTTTTCGTAAAAACAATTATCCTTGGGGCAATTTCCATGTAACAATGGTATATTGCAAAGCATTCGGCTTGCAATTCCAGCAAGCGATACGCCGGTTCGTGGTGAGTGCTACTGCTAGAGCCGGCGCCGTAGAGCACTGCCACTAGTACTACTACTACTAGTACTGCGTATCAGCATCAGCCGGGCGCAGGCCCAATCTCAGCTCAGGCTCTCATGTCATACTCAGCCGCAGGTATGCACTAGCAGATGAAAGCGTAGTTATAGAGTACCGAAGTGATGACGTCACGGTGGCCATGACAACGAGCCTGCTGGTCTACACAATCATATGCTTGCCCGGTAACATTAACTACGTGTCGTGTGTTTGTACCCGATTGTAACCATCATTCTGAGAGTCATTTATTGCAGTTTTATAGATTTCCAAAGGATGGAAGTGAAAAGCAACAAAAAAAATAAAAATAATTAACAACAACAAAATTTAAAAAAAAAATTAAATTTTTTAAATTCATTAAATATTGTAGATCGACTTTGCTACCGATGCTTTACCGCTGTCTGGCAGCGCACACACTCGTGTTTACGTACGCACAACATTTTCACGCAGTAAACTTATGGAGCCAGTGGCTTGTGTAGAACCAGCTTCGTGCGTTGTCTTGCCAACGTGACGTCACACTTCGGTACTCTATAGGCCTATATGCATAATACATACTACAGCACATTAGCGTCTCCAGTACTGTGTATAAACCCAGAAAGATTATTAACGAAGTATGACAGTTTCTCCAAACAAACAATTTAAGGAACACTACGTCACTAGTTTCGTCTTCGTTTATAGTCCCTTGGACTTTTGAAGACTACTATTCATGAGGTCATGAGGTTATTAGTAGAATAGTGTTACATGTCGTAAAATTCATTTATTTTTGTTGAACGATAACAACAATTTAAGCTAACAATGCTAATTGACAATAATGTTCATTTTCACTAGCAGGAAAAAAGTTTTCTTTCATCAACTGCCAATGAAATGCACAACAAACGTAAAAAAGCATGGTTGGAATGTATCATGAGACCGAAAATGGAACCTGCCTCCAAAAGTGTGCTATGCTCAAAGCATTTTGAAAATAAATGCGTTCACAGAGGTATGTTTGAATTTGTTATTGGCTGCAACGTGTTACAACGGGCGTAGCCAGGATTAAATCTAAGGGTGGGGGAGCTCAATGAGTTCGATGGGAAGCGGAGCGCCCGAGGGGGTGGTGGGTGTGGGAGCGGCCGCGCCGCCTCATCCAAAAAAGTGGGGGGGGGGCAAAACCAAAAAGCCACACCAAAAAGAAGAGTGGGAAAGAAAAATCAAATGTATGAGCTAAGACTTGTTAATTTCTAACGTTCAAAAACTAATTATACACTCCATTTTAAGTGTTCGCTGCGCGCTTTGCCGCTAGCGCTTAAGTTTGACGCTCACGCCGCACACACGCGCTCACGCACCCACGAGTTCACGCACACACGCCACACACACGCGCTGCTCACGCACACGCGCTCATTGCACACACGTCACACACACGGCGCTCACGCACAAAGCGCGCCACACGCACACACGCCGCATACACCGCGCTCACGCAACACGCGCTCACGCACACACGTTCGCACACACACGCTCACGCACACACGTCACAACACACGCGCTCACGCACCCACGAGGTTCACCCACACACGCCAACACACGCGCTCACGCACACACGCCGCACACACGCGCTCACGCAAACACGTCGCACAGAAGCGCTCACGGACACACGTCACACACATGCGATCACGCACACACGCGCTCACGCACCCACGTCGCACACACGCGCTCACGCACACACGTCGCGTACAGCTGTTCACGCACACACGTCACACATGCGCTCACGCACACACGCGCTCACGCACACACGTCGCACACGCACACACGTCGCGCACACGCGCTCACGCACACACGATAAAAAAAATCGTGAGCCACCTTAGGTCTTTGCCCCCCCCACTCCAAAACTGCTTCCGGCGCGCCTGACCTCACTTACGTAAGGGAGACCGGCCGAACTGAACTGATCAACTGAATCGCAGTATTACAACTGAATTTGTCTTGATTTCAGTGAGGCGAATTATTATTATTTTCCATTTTTTTCGCCTTCTAAATCTTAGGGGGGCGACCGCCCCCATCGCCCCCCCCCCTGGCTACGCCACTGACGTGTTAAGCATTTGCCCGTTCCCGTGCATTGCTGTGTAAACATTGCCCGTTTTCATAACAACTATTGCTACATTTTCTAGACAACACTGATTTGTAGAGCACATGACGTCCCCCATGCTCCACGTCTTAAGAAGGGTGCTGTTCCCACCAAAAGTGTCACCAAGGCCAAAAAGTCACCCAAAGTGAGAGTTTGCAGTGTTAATAGGGCAAGCAAACGTGAAGTAGAAAAGGTAAGATATTAAATTGTTCTCTAAACTTCCGAAATTAAAAACAATGTATATGCAGATGCGATGGGTGCAGTTTGCCAAAAAAAAGTTTCTAAATATTGCCTTTTGCTGATTTATTGTAGTTTAAATAATTCTTAGACTGCAATAAAGGTAAGTTTATAATGACCCATTTTAATAATTTCTGATTGCCTTTTTTTAGAAACAGAGACTAGCAGAATCTGAAAGCAGTGACACTGACAGGAGCATTGATTTGCCTGAGTTTGAGGTTCAGTTGAAGATTACTGACTCAATGTTGTTTTTTGAAATACGCACGTATGCACCATTTATAAGTTGTTGGCAATGGTTAAATGTTAAAGGTTTTCGCACAATTTTGTCACAGTTACTGTCATATGAGCTAGGATGTAGGTTGCTCTGACAAGACTAGTTTATAAAATTAACCCATATTTACCTTTACAGGAAACCCCAGTGCTTTGTTTGACTAGAAGCATTTCAACTCAGACAGACCACTACCAACCTTCATGTCCTCGATGTGAGAGCAGTATTGTATATGGTTCCACGATCGAAGTAGTCCACGACCATGCCTATTCACATGTAGGTGTTACATGCCCTCTTTAAATTTATGGCCACGATTGCTATACTTTACAACAAATTAAAAATTTTTAATTAGCATCATATGAAATGTCTTATTGCAATCATTGTAAAATGTGGATGTTATGTTTCTATAGAGCAATACACTTTTATTTTGAAACAGCCCGAACAGATTGCTGCAGCACCACCTCCTATTTCAGAAGGCCAAACACTACAGTCGAAGCTGCCTTCGTTTTCTGTGCCATGTGAAACCTCTGCTGTAATAATGGCTTTATTATCTGATTATTAAAACATATTTATTTTTTATATCACTGAAGTATAAAATACAACTTTGATATGTATTTACTGTTGCTGATCTCAATTCCTCATGGTTTTTTTAGTGAGAATTCTAACAGTTCTAATTCATTTTGTTAGGTACTCAAGTTTTCCCAAACTGGGTCAGGAATTGAGTCGGAGGATGATGTGCTTTGCAGCTCTGGTGATGACTCCTCCCAAATCTATCAGACACATGAGGTACTAAAAATTAAAGCTTTAAATAACATCTTGCAAAATACCAAAAAAATAATATTTTTATCAAATATTTATATGTTGTTATGCTGATACTGTTTAGGATGCCCAAGGAGACTCTGACAGCGATTACCTGCCATCAACTATCGCGTTGAGTGCTTCATATGAGACTGTAGCTGATCCCAACATCATTACAGAGGAGAAGTATTTGGTCTTTAGCAGCTGCTTAGATCAACTGCTACACAGATGTCTCCAGTGTGGTGCAGACATTTCGTACAAAGAAACTGTAACTAGGGGTACAATGATTTCTGTGAACATGACCTGTTCAAGTAATCATTACTTCAGCTGGCATTCACAGCCACTCATCAATAAGACAGCTGCCGGGAACGTACTACTTGCTGGTGCAATACTTGTGAGTGGAGAGTCGTTCACACTCGTGAAGTCAATGTGTGATGCTTTTGGACTTGTGATTTTTGGTGCATCAACATACTACGACGTTCAAAATAAGTGGCTGTTTCCTGCAGTGAACAAACACTGGCAGGATGAGAGAGATAGTGTGTTGAGAACTCTACAGTCACAGCCTCAGCCACTAACAATTCTTGGGGATGGGCAATGTGACAGTCCAGGCTTTTCTGCTAAGTATGGAGTCTACTCTGTTGCAGAGCAGAGCTCAATGAAAATTATTGATTTTGAGCTGGTGCAAGTGGGAGAGCATGAGGTTTGTATGCAAAAATTCCTGATTCAGTGAAAAAGTTAAAATGCTGTCAAAAACCCATTGCAATCCACAACTGACTTTTGTGTTTAGTTCTTATATAAAGTTACAAAATACTGTGATTGTCTATTGAGAGGTGCAGCATTATTTTAAGTTGTCATATGCTGCGCGAAGTAAAGTACCAAAAAATAAATTACAGTGCATAACCAACTAAATGAAGGCTATGACATACCTTTAGGTCAAATACTCCCAACATCTTGAGCCGACAGGATTCAAACGAATTGTAACAAGATTGCTGGAACACGGCTTGAACATCGGCACCATTGCTACTGATCGCCACACAACAATCCGTGCAATAATCCGAAAGGATTTCCCAGGCTTGCAACACCAATTTGATGTTTGGCACATGGTGAAAGGTACAATGGAAAATACAAACAACTGGAATTATGACTCATAAAAATTCAAGTAAAAAATTTAAATTTAAATTTTTTACAAATGCTATGTATAATTTCCAGGTGTGCAGAAAAAGCTGTTATTGGGAGGGAAGAAGAAAAGTTGCAAGATGATTCTTCCCTGGGTGAAAAGTGTCTCCAATCATCTATGGTGGTGTGCAGCAGAATGCAAGGGCGACGCAGACTTACTGAGGTATGATTGCGCTTTTTTTCCTTATCGAATGATTCTAAAACATGATTTACTAAGTACACTGTTATTAACCCAACAGATAATATATAAATATGTTTTCAAACTTATTATTTCTAACTGTACATAAAAACAAGTGCTAAACTGCAAAAGCAGTAACATGCTCGCAAGTCGCAATACTTATTATCACACTTTGGCAGAGAGATGTGGGTTTCCATTGTGAACCACATCGTAAACAAGCACGCCTGGAACTATGGCAGTTGCTTCCACAAGTGTGCTCATGCAGCATTACACGAAACGGATACTACAAAGTACCTGAAAGCAGGATCACAGGTATACCTACTGCACCTATATACATTGTATTTGTGTTAGTAATAAGCAGTTTTGGTTTTTTTTCTTTCTTTTTTCCATTGGCTCATGCTGTGGTAAGTAATATAAGATTAAAAGTAAAATGTGCTAAATAAAACTGTTAGTATCTTGTAACTTACAAGCTCTTACATCAGGCACACAAGCTTTTGACCTCTGTTGTAATGGAAAAGAGACTATTGCGAGACGTGGGTCACCTAACACAGTTCTGCCACACTGGTCCGCTGGAGGTATACCATAGTCTGCACCTTAAATATGCTCCAAAGCGTCATCATTATAGCTACAAAGGTATTTTAAAATACATCTTAGTCTTTATATATTGTGTTCATAATTTATCCACAGCAACAAGAAATGAATTTTGGTAGCAAAATCTGCAAACATTCGCTTTAGCTGAAAAATAATGTTAGAAGCCAGTGTTTTGCTGCTGCAAATATATTTTTATTAATAAAAGGAATGCTGGCAAGATCACAACTGACAGCTTTGGATCACAATGAAAATGCAAACAGACTGCAGGCAGTTGATGCAGATGGTAAAAAGCTTTACAGGCCAGAATATCCTAAATCTCAGAAAGATTGGATCTTGAAAAAACGATACGAGAAAAAGACCTTCGGCTTCAGGCACGACATTTTATGTACTGCCCTAGAGTTGCGACAAGGTGGTAAGTATTTTTTAACAAAAACGATATAATTATGTGTTACAGAACACGTTAATCCTGGCATTACAAGTTAAAGCACTGTAAATCATGAAACTCAATTTATACTTGTAGCTGATGAGCCATTACATCATACTGTACCAGATCTACCCAAAAACCTCGCCCCAAAGCCGTGTCCACCAAAGGAGGAACTTATAGCGAAGCACACGACAAGATTTTCAAAACAGACAGACATGGAGTAAAGGTAACGTTATTAATTGTCAGCCTTTCACATGCATTCATAATTGTAAAAAATGCAATTGACCCTCAAAGTATGAAATGCTGCTATAGCTAAACAGGACCAATATGAGCAAAATAAAACATGTGAAACCTGTATTTCTATTTCATAAACTCAGTGTGGTAACCAAGCCTCTTCAACTTCAGATTCGGACCCTTCTTTGAAACCGACATAGACTCCACTTTCCTCAGGATAGGTTGAACGGATAGATGCAATGACACATGCAGGGATTACTCTTCGAACCCTGCGTCCAATTCTTTTGTGTACCCAGTAGGTGAAGTTCCTGTAACCAGCAAGGCGCAGAACCCTGAAGACAAAGAATAATTTTGTTATATTACAGCATCTGTTTAAAATGACATTCTTAAAACTGTTATACTGTCTACTATACTACTGTATACCCTTTGCACGGGTATTGAGGGGGTACAGGGGGGGGGGTACGGGAGAAGGGGGGGGGGTACGGGAGAAGGGGGCGGGAGGAAGACAACCCCCTGTACCAACCCTCGGTATTGCTGTAATAAATTGTACACGTTTATTAAAAAAAGAATCGAACAGAAACCTATAAACGTGATGTTTTACCTGTTAGAAAGGGGTTCTCTTAAGTCTCCAGGATGAACATCATGCATGTGTACAAGACTTAGGCGAAGAATAAATCTTGCTCTGCACGCTGTTTGAAACTCCTCATGCTCCGTCACACATGAAACTTTATCAGATGCAACTGGACAGATGTAAGTAAGAAAGAAAGCAATATAGAAACAAAACTATCGTTTGTACTCGCATAAACATTTACAGTTACGCTGTATAGAGTAATGTATAATGTTTTTACTGTATGTTGTAAAATAGTTGTAGATAGTTGTAGTTGTTGTAATTGTAAATAGTACCTACTAATATTAGTATAATATATTATGTTGTAAAATAGTTGTAGATAGTTGTAGTTGTTGTAATTGTAAATAGTACTAATTTTAGTATAATATATGTTGTAAAATAGTTGTAGATAGTTGTAGTTGTTGTAATTGTAAATATAGTACCGTGGTACTAATATTGTTGTATGTTCACTATATATTAATATTATTTGTATTGCTACGTTGGTAAGGTAAGGTAAGGTGTTCTCGTTCCAAGAACTATTGACATTGTGTATTGACAACTTGTGTCCTATACAGTTATAAAATTCGCAGTGGCTACAGGTACGGTAGCCGTCGTTCGTTGAAGCCCCTTTTTGGCGTTAGGGTTAGCATTAGGGTTAGGGTTAGGTTTAGGGTAAGGGTTAGGGTTCTAGCTCATCTAAACTCTGAAATCGTGAATTTATTTCCCCAAGGCGTTACTTCGAAATCTCGCGCCACCGCCGCTATCTTTGTCTCGTTAAGTATGGAAGCGTATGGACTCCCGTACCCGTAGCCACTACCTATAAAATTTCATTTTTAATCCACTCCTTACCAGTCTTGTGTTTTTGTACAAGTTATTGCTAATATGTAAAATAGCCTAGTAGTAGTAAACTGCCAAGTAGCCCGTTTTACAGTATAACTGCTTAAAATACACGTATGCAATCAAAAACAACATTTATGTATTCACTAAATTTAAATGTAAGACTGAGACCAACTTAGACAGTATTATGAGTATACATATAATACATAGCTCTAGTACTATAGCCGCTTACATTAACTGCCGCTGGTGCCAGCGGCAGTTAATGTAAGCGGGCTATAGTACTAGAGCTATATAATACAGTACTCGGTAGTCAGTATTTCGGCCACTCGGCAATCACACCTACTTTCATCACATTTGTGCCTGGAATTTTCCACTTCTCTACAACAAATGCTCTCTCTGGCGGTCTGCATTTCGGTGCAAAAACCACATTTGCACCATTCCTTATTTCCCACTCTGGTGGAAGATCTCGATGCCGGAGTGGAGTCTAGCGAGTCGGATGACGAGCCGTTGTTGTCGGTACCACCACCAGTACTAGTACTGCTAGCATCGGAGTGTTTTTCTCCGGAAGCGCATTGTGGTTCATAAGAATATGGGCGAATACTTTGCACATTATCTGGCACAAATAATCCATCAGATGCTTCACTATCACTGCTATTGTAGTGCCGCTAGGGTAGGCGACTACGGTTCGACAGACGTTAGGTAGTAAAACTAGTAACGCGTGCCCAGTTGTGGGATCAGTGTCCGCTCTTGTCGATGTATTAGACAAGACGGTGATGATACGTAGCCGATAACAGGTGAACAGAACAGAACACGGTGAGATGCGGTTAACGATACGGTTATAGAGCTTTTATTGCCAGCTACTAGATTCCTAGTGCTACATTAAGATGATTCCCCTGCATTCGTAGTAGTGCAGCGGCCTTTCTATCGAGTCTCGTGGGATACGCGATGCGTCGGGCGGCTCGTCTTTCCCTCAACGTTCGTCTTGCTCGTGGCGTGGATCCAAGCCGCTCCCAGGTGTCTCCCTTGCAGTCGTCGGCTACTCTGCCCAGAACGACCGTACTTCCCGGTTTAATTTTCCCCATCATCCGGCTCGCTCTGGTTTACACCTACCTGAACTCGCTGTCGTCTATACCTCNGAATATTCCTCGTTTTCGCCCGACAGGCGGCAGCAGCAGTCGATCCAACATGGCTGCTCCCGTGTTGATGTATATTTATGTGTAATCTATATCTTACCCTTTCTCTAGTCAATATATCGTTATTCTCTCTATACGGTGAGTTCAGTCTATTGGTCCCGATCTAGCCTATTACTCCTGTACGTGATACACCCCCCCAAGATCTCCACACTATTAAAAGCCATCAGAACATTGATACAAGCGTATTTCCATGTAAACACATACAAAAACAAGAGACTATACGTCGTGTTAGACTCCAGCGCCGCGAGTGGCAGGCAAAAATGGCGGCACGCTTGAATCGTGGCGAAGGCACAGCACAGTGGTAAACAATCGGCAATTACTATAAAACCGCTACAAATCATGGGTATGTATCTCAGACCTTTATTACTTAGTAATTTTATTTATTTCCATTAATATTACTCGTTTCTACGCCGGATAGCTCCTTTAAGTAGACTGTCGTTGGCACACAGAAGGTCAGTGAACGCCTTGTCAGGTCCTGTTGTCTTGCCTTTTGTCAGATGTCCTAATGCAGCAATTGTCTCTCCTAGTGTGGAGATTTCAGGGGGGATGACGTCATACAAACCAGAGACCAGTTCAACAGCAACAGGGATAAAAAGTTTCCTGGAGACAGGTAAAAAGTTTTTTCCAACAACACAGACAAGCGCGGGGAGGGGGGGTCCCATAGCTACCAGATGTGGGAGGTCAGGGAGTTGCGCCACCACGTACACACGCCGGGCGAGAGAGCGGTGCCGGCCGAGCACGTGGCAGACAAGGGGGTGCAACGCTCGTGCATATACTGGACATGGTTCGCACAGTCCTTGAAAAGTCCTTGAATTTGAGGGGAGTCCTTGAAAAGTACTTGAATTTGAGGGGAGTCCTTGAAAAGTACTTGAATTTAGTAAATGTTGATTTTGTGCTTGAAAAGTCCTTGAATTTCATGAAAATGTCCTTGAATTTTTAGAAAAAATCCATGCCTATCATAAAAAGAAATTTTGTACCATCAATAATGTGCAAACCTCAATAAAAATTGCGTTAAATGAGCTTAAAAAGCTATAGACACGATAGACAGTTAAACGATGATCACAAATTACAGTAAGTCAGTAAAATCAGTCAGTAAATCAAGGTATGTTGTAGAAGTGACAGTGTTTAGAAGGGTTTATTAATGTGATCCAGGTAAGTTTTAGAGGTGACAGTGATTAAGAATGTAAGAATGGGGTTATTAAATTAATCCAGGTATGTTTTGTTCT